AGAAACCATCATATTTTGATATGCGGATCGATTATGACAACTCTAGTTTAAAAATTATCCTTGCTGTTTGTTTGGGACGGTACTAGCAAGTGATAAGGCTAAATATAATATATTTATTACCTATAATCAATTACCACAATTAATGTGTTCTTTGATGTGTTATATATAAGAGTTAATGAAAAGGAATCTATAGAAAAAAGGAATAAAATGGAGAAGAAAAGATAGATTTTATATATTTTGTATACAAACATCACAGGGGAGCGCTTTACATTCTACGATTGCTTCATTTGCTCCGATTGCTCCGATCGCTCTGTTTGCTCCATTTGCTCCGAACATAATTTTGACGGCTTCCCTAAATTAAACAAAGTGCCAATTCACTATATGCAGTATATTTAACGCGGCGCCTCATGCCGAAGTCAAACGGTTAAGATATGCTGGGAGAACGAGCTGGGAGCGAGCTTTCTCCCTACGTATCCAAAAGATGATTGGCCATGTATCCACGAGCGAAGAAGTGAGATAATATGGACATTTAAGTAACAATAAAATTTAACTTCTTTTAAGCACATAAAAGTTATTAAATATCGTTTTTAGTTGTAAATAAGCTTGTATTGTCTGTTCTTCTAATTTTTTTAGTAGAGATCTTGTTCTGATACGATTCATCACTAACACATGAAAATTCACAACGTTTACTTAATAACAATTATCACAAACAAGAAGATGCAGCTGAATTTTTAAGAGTATTGGTTGAAAAAATGGTAATTGATTATAAACAACGGCATGATTTATCAGCGTTGCCAATTTTTTATGATGCAGTTGGTTTGGATTTATGTGACGAAATACAATGTTCACATAAAATTAATAGTCAAAAATGTTTTTCGTCGTACAGCTCGGAACCAATCAAAGAAATTATCTTGCCGTTACAAATTACTTGCACAACAATAAACAATAATGGATTTGAAATCATCAGGCCTCTTCAAACATTAGATGATTGTCTAGCATCCCATTTCCAGAATGAATACGTGGAATCATTCAGATGTACAGACTGTAATCAACAACGAAAAACCAAAAAAATTTGTGTGTCGAAGACAACACCATCAATAATTATACATTTGAAAAGATTTAATAATAAACGTCAGAAATTAACATTTCCAATTACTTTTGCTGAAACATTGAATCTTAATCCGTTTTTTAACAATAACAATCATTCATCATCACGATTACCGTTAAGATATTTTTCATTGTACGCTGTTATTATTCATATTGGTTCAGGTATTGATAATGGTCATTATATAATCTATGTAAAATCACATCAACAAGTATGGATGAAAATCAATGATTGTCATATAACAAGTGTTACCCTTCAACAAGTATTGAACAAAGAACAAGATGCATATCTATTAGCTTATGCACAAGCAACAAATAATGAATCTGACAAAGAAAATCATCAGATAATGAGACATCAACAGTTGAAATCAATAGCAATTGATAAAATGCAACAAAAACATTTGTTATCAAGAAATATTAAACAACTAGAATTCGATCTACAAGAACAACAACAACAACAATCATCGTCTGAACATTATCAATGTCATAGTAGAATTATTCTGGGTAATACAACAAATCAAGAACTGGTTTTGTCAACAGCATCACCAGAAGCTCAATTGTCCGATTTAAACGATGATGAAGGTTATCAAAATATTTTACATGATATGATTCAGAAGAATTCTGTTAGCATATTGACATACGAAGAAAACACATCGTTTTTTCTTTGATTTAAATCATGATTTTGGCTCAACACCCGTTCTTATAAGACATTCACAAAATGTTGCTAGAAGCCGAGTTAAGCCATTTCAAGAAGGCAGGACCGCCTGAGTCGTAGTATATCTTAAAAATAAATTTCATCTTTTTGTTTAGGCACTGGTAATTTGTTTGAATTCAATGATTTTAAGTCCGTGGGTATGCACATTTAAAGCAAAATAAAGTTTACGTTTACTTTGCTACGAAAAGAAAAAATGTAAATTAGCCTTGAAAACCTTAGGTTTTGCAGTATTTTAACTCTTTTCGAGATATACAATTCTTTAATTTATCGGATAAATTCCAAACGATAAAATCGGATAAAATTTCAAACGTTATCATGAATTTTTTTATCGATGTTTAAATATTTTGTGTAGCTGCTTTCAGAAAAACTTTAACCTTTTTTTAGGCACTACATCATCGTCTCATCCAAAGCAAATTCTCGATTTAACTGTTGGACATGCAGATGTAACAACCAACATTGTTTGTTCTTATTTTAATGACACTAGCGACGAAGGTAAATTTCATGAAGTTTTTTATATAAATTTTCACAAAATTTAAAAATTTAATCTTTTTTTAGAAGCACAAAGTAATTTGGATTCTGTACACAAAACGATTGAGGTTGAAAAAGCAAATATACATGCATCGACAAAAAAAAATACAAGAGCAAATTTAGATGATGATGAATCATCATCAGATAAGATCTTATTATACTTAACTACTATGATTAGATAATGAATGTTACAGTGAAATATCGTACTACAGCACTCCTTCATATTCCTATACACTCCTTGATACTTTTCACCGTTTGGAATAGTTAAAAGTATTTGTAACTATAATGTCTCTCAGTATTTACCATTTCTCGCTTCGTCACCTAAATAAAGACTTTTTATAAAATTTCTTATTAATAGGTAATTATTTTCTCACTAAAAACACGATTTTATACCCTTATCTACAATCTATTAAAGTGATTACACATATGAGAAGACAAAACATTGTTTTTTTTGTCCGGCTTCATTCTTTCTAGAAAGTCTTTATGAATCTTTTTTCATTAAACATAATTTTCAAAAATAAGGTACTATTCGAAATATTCGAAAAATGGGATGAGAATCACGCTATGTACGGAAATATCGTCCAACGAATACCTGATTGTTCTTACAGCGGTACTCTGCAGCTTCGCTTATCCAAATAAATAGTTGCCTTTCTGAGTTCCGGCTCGATGGCTTAAAGATCAGTTGGTCACGCCCTATTTGAAAGTGAAGGTAATAGAATCGTTATTTCCCGCATCACTCACCGCTAAAGTAAAATACTAGGTTTTTTCACTCAGTTATACTAGTTCTCAGGTTTAAAAGTGATAATTCATTCATTATTTAAAAGTTTGCTATGTCGAAACTTGGGTCTTGAGATTTCTGCAAAACTCAGTTTTTTAGAAAATCTAGTGACCTTCAGAAGTTGTTCAATCACACTGTTGAATAGCCCCTTCAATTCTCCACAAAATTAGATGTTGGCTAAGTTTCTAGGAGCCTGGACGACCGAGTTACAGGCCTTTTAACATTACGAATGTAAATCCATCTACAATTTTTGCTTTAATGTTGAACTTTCGATATGTATCGTATTTTGTATGCCAGTTTTTCACAGAACAGCGTAGAAACTTCGCCGATATCTCATTTTGTAGAGAATTGAAGGAGCCATTCAATGATGTGATTGAACAACTTCTGAAGGTCACTAGATCTTCTAAAACACTGGGTTTTGCAGAAATCTCAAGATCCGAGTTTCGACATACCAAACTTTTAAATAATGATCCTAGTACATCTGGATGTGCTCTTTCAAACTACACTAGTTTTAAAAGAATTCATTACTCTGACTGAAGAAAAGGCATTTTTAAATTTTCATAGTGACCTTTAAACAAAATCCTTACCATGACCAGTCCTCAAGAAACAAGACGTTTTTGAATTAGCTATTGAATAGAGCTCATTTCGAAGTATATATGTTAAAAAAATCTTGACTTTATCTCTCATACTGGCTGAGAAAATTAAAATTTACTTTGGCATCTACAGCAAAAATCAGCTATCTATAACTAACCACACCTATTAGAAAAATGCTTATATCTCTTGAACGAAATAACCGCTTGAGTTGAAACTTTCAGATTAGTCCTAAACGTGTTTGATCTTCATAGCCTAAAAGTATGAGCGAAATCAATCACACCTTGGATGCAACATTCCGCTGTGTCCTGTTGTATTTATCATGCAATGACAGTTTTTTTATTAGTCGAAAAGTAGCATAGACAACGTTCTTGGAAAAAAATAGAAAATTCAGTTCTAGTTCGGTCTACTTTGCAGCAGCCTTCATAGTCCCTCTCGACTGTGAATAACAAGAAAAATCGTACTATGTCTGAACGGACTTCGACAGATGCACAAAAAAATATATTTATTTTTATCATTTAATTCTGAGAAAATTGTTTTTGAACAAACGTTTTCTCAATGCTACAGTTCGGTCGGTACCATTAATTGTGTTTCCCGACGGTTTATCTCGAAATGACGCAGAAATGTATGATCTTAATGGTGACACAAGTTCAGAAGGAAATAATGAACAGTCAGGTAGTCAATAGAAGGAGGAAAAGAGTAATATCACGATTTTCTCTTCTTGTCTTTTCTGTTCTGTAAATCATAGTATATATATAGAGTAGTCTCATCCTTCTGTTTTATCTAGTTTTCATTTCAAATATTTACTTTTGAAAATGACTCAATGAAGAGTCGAAACTTCAAGATAAGTTGACAAAACGCTAATTTTTACGCCATTTTGAACGATGATTTGTCGTTTTTCTCAATAGCACGAGCATCTCCTTCTGTTGTCGGTGCTCAGATAAACAGTTTCAGAAGTGTCAAAGAAAATCCAGCCGTTATTGAGAAATATACTTTTTATCGAAATATTGTTGCTGGACTAATTTGAGCAACAACGTGTTCTTCTATACTTGAACGCAATGAATGAAGTAAAAGCAAAAGTAATTGCAGGAAAAACTACTTTTAAATTGGTCAAAATATGCTGTGAATAAATATGATTGATCAAATCACAACTCTTTTGAGTTTGTCTTTATGAGAAAATTAATTTTTTTCGACGAGAATTAAAAAGCCTGATAGCTATATAATTCTAATTGAATTAACTAATATTTTTTGTAGCAGTTTTTTCAAGCGTTTCTTTTTTTCTCAGAAACCCGTGCGTTACCATGTAACAGTATTTTTTTATCTTTATATATTTACTTTTTTTCAGAAAACAATATCATAGATGAATAAGATTCGAAAATGATTAATGTGACAAGTAGTGCAACATTAACCAAAACACTACCAACAAGTTGTAGTGTAAAATTAAATTACCAGGATTTTGAGACGTTGAAGAGTCTGCAAAAACCTTACTACGAACGTCAAATGAATAATTTAATATACAACAATGCAAGTGAAACAAATGAAAAGAAAAGATATAATGGCTATGAACATATTCCAATATTATTAAAATATTTTAAACAATACACTCCATATTGTTCAGGTGTTTTTAAGAACAAAAAATTTGGAACTTTACGAAATACCACCGTTGGTTTATTATGTGTTATATCATCAAACATTTATTGCAAACAAAAAGAATGTGCATTTTATTGTCGCGCTATTGTCAAAACAAACTGTTTTATTTACATTTACATTCAATCAAGTCCACGCAGCAAAGCAACACAATTAAATCAAAACAAGGAAAATCAATTAACAAACGAAGTTAATCATAAAAGTTATCCCGCAGCAAGACCTATCCAGAAGCCGGAACGGTTACAGTTAGAAACATTAATGAATAAAGGTGTTACACAGCATCATATTTTTTTTGAACAAAAAAATCAACGTACAGTGAAGGAAAAATGTGGTTATAATTATGATTCATGTGGAACAAGTATTAGAACATTAAAAAAAATCAAGGCTGATTTCAAATCACAAGCATACAAAGCACAAAATGAAGATGATTCAATCCGTCATATTTAACAAAAATGGTTAGAAAAGTTATCCGAAGCCAAATATGTCGGCGGTGCTATTCAGTAAGTTATTATTTTACCTACGTACATTCCAGTAGTTTCTTCGTAGTATCTTATTTTAGCTTCAAACTCCTTCTTTCAATAATTTATTTCCGGCTCCGATTCTACGAGTTTTTTTATTTTGCATGGAGCTATCGTTTTTTCCTGAACTCTTGCGATAGACTTTTAATCAATTTTTTTGTCAAAAACGTTCTTAAAGGACGGGGGCCATTATCTGATGAAATCGACCCATGCCTGAATTTCATCAACTAACCAAAGGCTAGATGTAGAATGAAGAGGGGAATGTTTCTAGTTACTTACTAGACCTTAGAATCACTCTCAAACAAAGTTGGTCAAATCAAATTTGGTTAAGTTTCTATTGCATCTGATATATTTTATAGATCATATTTTTGGATCTTTCTCTCTCAGTTTCACAATTCCGCACGACTACTATACACCATTCGAAACATTTTCTTTTCTTCGCTATATTTCTGTATATCGCACATACGGAAATAGTCGTTCTGAGGCCAAGTATGTCTAGAAACACTTCTGGCAATGGAAAATGATCTTCTGCGTGCAAAAACTCTTAGATATTCTATATCAACATTTCTCATCCGGCCACAACAAGAAATATATCCTTCGATAGAGCATTTGTCGAGCTACAATTTGATATGTATATATATGTAATATAGGAAAAGAAGTGTCCTAGGGCATCTTGACATTAGAAATGTTTCTGCAAAGCCAGAAGTCTGCTCGTAATTCTCAATTTTCTCCATCCAAACTCAACTTTTATGCAATAAAAGTATCGTGATATCGAGATTTTTAGATTTTCATCAAAAAAATGAAAATCAAGTAAAAATTTCGAAATGCACATCAGTCGACTCAGTTGTTGGTCCTGATTTGCAATATGATATTTTTATTGCATAAAAGTTGAGTTTGTATGGAGAAAATTGAGAAATACGAGCAGAATTTTGGCAACTCTCTTCCGCTCTGAATATTTCATACGAGAGAGTTAAAAAAAGTCCATGAAAAAATTCTCAAACTTTTTTTGCCTACATCTCCATCTTCAAATCTTTCGATCACGCCTTTCATATCTATTTCTTTGATCACAAAAGTTGTTTTCGCTTTTTTTAGGTTTTGCTCTACAATACCATCGTTGATAGTGATAGTATTCACGGAAGCGTCACTTCGTTTATATAATGCACTGGTACATCAACCGGATACTGTTGTCAGTTGGGATGCGTCAGGATCAATCGTTCGAAACAACAGCAATGATCTTCGTCTCTATTACGAATTCACACTATCAGTACCCAATACAGCGCCACATGATCGTTTAACTCCGATATCGTTCTTTATATCATGTGATCATTCTCAGCCAATAATTGATTTTTGGCTTAGTAAATTAAAATATGGTTATAAAGAAATATTTCCCCAAAAAACGTTTCCTGTACCAAAATATATGATTAGTGATCGTTCATTTGTATTAATTCGTGCAAGTTTCCACCAGTTTAATGAGGGAACTTATCGTGATTATTTTCTTCGAGCATTCAAAATAGTGAACGGTGATACCAGTCAGATTAATGAAAATAAGACAATAATAATAAGTTGCATCGCCCATATGATGAAACATTTTTCAATAAAAATTGTAAATAAATTTTTGGTTAAAGAATTACGTGAACTGGGAATGTGGAGTTTATCATTACTGCTAAATACAAGCCATTGGAACGATATGTTACAGAACTGGTCATTAATGTGTGATGTATTTATTAATTATTTTACTAATCCTTTTCCGACAACGTCGTATGAATATTTACAAACAAAATAATGCATTTAAAGCAAAGGAACCCATCGTTAATTGCTATTGATCAGACAAACAATGAAAACGAACCAAACAAGAATAAAAATGAACAACAAAGTCAAGACGAAAATGTATGTACGTGCTGGTGAAATTGGATTTATATTGCTTAACAAAAGTGAACTGTACATTCTTGCATTTTTGCAATAAGTTATTAATTTATTTCCAGTTGTCGCTTTATATAAAACGTGTAAGAATTGTAGAATAAAAAGCGAAGGAAGTAGGGATCCTAGAAATTTAAAATTCGAGAAATAAAGTGAGTATAACGTTAATTATTTCTCAGCCCCTGCTGTCTGACTTATAAAAAAAGATCTCGTTAAAAATAATTTTTTGCGATAAAATGTCATTTGTTCTAAAAAACAACTTTGAAACAACTTTCAAAACTTTGAAAAATATCTAGCGTATCGATTATTGTGGTATATCTACGGCATGAATCGAAAAAATTAAGTTTCAATTGGACTGAAGTGTTTTCTATGCACATCTTTGTTCTAATTTTCTACTATGGCGCGTTGAAAAATCAAAAACAAAATATTAAGTGCCGTTTAAAAGACCTAAACTCCTCTTCCGCATTTTTTCAATTTTCTCAACATGATGATAATGTAAAAGTCGTGGTGAAATTTCCAAAAACCATGTCTGATCAACATATTGTTTTAGCTTCTATCTGCTTCGCGTACATATTCTTACTTTCACGACTGGAGAAGTTGTTACGATATTTCTACGACTTCACCTATCCATATTCTTCGTATTTAGAAGTGCCGTGATGTAAACGTAAACAAAGTTGGAATATCTTCAAAAAACATTTTTTTTAGTCATTTCTCTTTAAAACAGAGAAAGAGGATTGATAGTAGTACACGTCATCATGCGAAATTCTCACTTGTCGATGCAGTGATTACCTTCTATTTACAATTGAGCTTCTGCTCGTTTGCTTACAGAAACTCTATAAAAAGAAAACAAAAACTGTTACTTAGAACCCAAAAGAATACAATTTTTCCAGCTGCATATTTTTCAAGCAAAGATCCCTTTGTTCGTTGTTGCTTTTCGACCCATTTAAGAGTTTTCTATTCTTGTCGAGTTTCTGTAATTTTTTTAGAACGGAACCAATGATCTGTATCAATTACGAGAACAAATAATCACAATCAAGATGATCCAAATAAAGCTGATCAAGATAATTATGTCATTTTCAATGAAGAAACCGTGCTGGAAACAATCAACTCTGACTTTAAAGCAAGGTTCACAGAAATTTATGAAAATAATGAAAAATCACATGAACAACAACCACAATCATTAATAACGGATGAAGATAGAAAGAAAACAGATAGTAATATTAAATTCATTAAATACATTCTTAAATGGTGTATACCGTCTGTTATAATTTGGTCAAATTTATTGGTTCATCCAAATATCCAAATACAACGATCAAATGCACAAGCGGAACGAGAAATGGGCATAACAAAAATAGTCCACTTAGGTGGAGTTGTGAACGGAAGAATTGATGTTGTATTAGATACATTAATTGAAAAACAAATGGACACAATCACATTTTTTGCTGAACATTATTTTATGAATAAATTAAATCAACAAGTTCAAATCAAATCAAAATTTGTCGCAGACTCTTGGACAAGTCGTGCTAATAGAAACCGATCATGGTATCAACAACAGGCAAATGATAGTGTGCTACGAAGGCTAGATAAAACACAAACTATAGACATTAAATATAATGAAGATTTACATATACAACAATGGGAATTACACCCACGTAATAATTATATTCATACCACTATTCTATGCCTATCTGGAATATCTGTTTGGCGAAAAAAGGTATTGCGATCCAATAACAGTCTTAATAAAATTATGCCAAAAGACAGAATAACAAAAAATGATATTGATGTCATTAAAAATTATTTAGATATTGAAAAGTTATTGCAAAATAACGAAAATGAATCAAAAAAAAAATTATTTGTTTATTACGTCACATCGTTCATCCAATGATCAACACATCAACATCTACAAGAATAGAAGGCATTTGTTATTTTGAATGCACCACTTGTGTACAAACGTTCAAAACAAATGCGATCTATGATGCTATACAATTACAAAATAAAAAACATACAATGGATGTAGTCGATGAATTATATGATTTTTTCAACACGACACAATCGGAAAAAAAATGTCCTGAATGTAGTACTCGAATGAACAAAAAATTCAAAGTCATAAAATGGCCTCCAATCTTATTATTGTTTATTACAGATTATGCTGCATCTGTCAATTCTGTACAATCGCCACCAATCAAGGTTGATTTGTCTCGTTATACTGATGATGTACACATAGCTTTATCGAGTGCATCAACTTACGATTTTGTTAGTTATTTGTCATGGTAAGCTATTTACATTTCATATCACCGCATTTTGAAATTATGCTCCCTACTATGATCGTCAAATGTTAAAAATTCGTAACGTTTGAATATTTTAGGAAAGATACCACAAATTTGGATAATCTATATGGATTCACACGTTATTTAAAAGCGTGGACAACAAGTTTAACATAAAAAAAAATGCGACAAGGTCAAGATTTTTTAAATCATTATTCAACAGCGCGAATTATTGTCATGGAAACATTGAGAACATTACAACCCTGTTATTTACATGCTTTTTTAAAAGCGCTGAATTGTAATATTCAAATTACAAGTAATTATCGTCATAATTTATTGCAAGAAACATTAATCAGTTTGAAAAACACCAGTACAGAAAGAATACAAGAAATTATACAAAATTTTCAATTAAGTAAGTAGCGATCTAATTGTTTCTCATTCACAGATGTGCACTAGAGAAGATGACTATACATTCTGTTGTTCCCATAAGTCGAAACTAAAACTCTGCTTAACACCTTTGTTTTCAGCAGAAAAGTAAGAAAAAACGGTACCCTTAATCAGAAGTTTATTGCTCATCTTATTCTCGAGTTTCATAAGATAAATTGTGTGAATACTTCACTTTCTAACAGCACTTGAGCACTAGCATTTCCTCTGTTCCCTTCTTTAGTAAGTCTGTTA